TAAACTACCTAAAAATAATAAAATATCTAATAATATAATATTCGTAACCATCTTTATCCAGCGTAGTTAAGTATGCATATATTGATCTATCCATGTGCCGTATTTGTGAAATTAAGCAACTAGCTCTGCTCTCGAATTTCAACATTTTTCTAGCTTGCTAAACACAATCAATCCTACACACTTACAAATTCCATTCTCTAGTTCAAAATTATTTTTTAGAAGACAATTCTACCTAACTTTAAAATTAACAAGCTCAAAATAACTTTCTAACATGCTTTTAATATTAACTATTTAACCTGAGATTTTAACGGCTAATGGCTAAATTGCAGAAGAAATTAAATGGACATTCTAGCGTTTTTCTGAGATAAGGACAAATCAGAGAGTGATAAATTATGAGCTAATTCGATACCTGTCACAAATGTTTCATTTCATACAAATACCATACCCTTTGTGACCATGGGGAATCCTATAAAAATTGAGCTAACTCATGAATCCCCCTCCACCAATGTTTGTTGTTCCCTGGGAAGAAACTTGTCCCTGTGAAACCAGCTGTGACCGCCCAGGGCCTTGAACATAGCCTTGACCCATTCCTGCCCCAACCATCTGTTGCTGCTGAGGCTGAAGTTGCTGTATTTGTGGAAGCTGCTGCTGTTGCTGTAGTTGTGGAATTTGTTGTTGGAGTTGAGGTAGCTGTTGCTGTTGTTGGATTTGTGGAAGCTGTTGTTGTTGCAATTGAGAAAGCTGCTGCTGCTGCTGTTGGACCTGAGGCAGCTGTTGCTGCTGTTGTAGCTGAGGAAGCTGCTGCTGCTGTTGTTGCATCTGAGGAAGTTGCTGCTGCTGTTGTTGCATCTGAGGAAGTTGCTGCTGCTGCTGGAGTTGTTGCTGCTGTTGTTGCATCTGAGGAAGTTGCTGTTGCTGCATGTGAGGAAGTGGCTGCTGCTGTTGCAACTGGGGAAGATGCTGCTGTTGTGATTGCATCTGCTGATGCTGTTGCTGCATTTGTTGCTGCTGCTGGCTGGACAATTGTGGCTTAAAAACAACCATATCCTGCCAGCATTCAAGGCTTCAAGTAAATAGGCAAGGTATAACAGGCTCATAATTGTAATCGAGCCTCAATTAAATCAGCAACTAAATGTTACCCCGGGAAAAAGCATCCCAATCAAGCGGAAGGCTTTGTCAGAAACAGATAGTAGCAACGTCTGTGATGGTAATTGAATGACTGCACACTGAAATCAAACAACAAATTCAGCAACACAAAAAGATTCCTCCTGTAAGAAATGAAACCAATGGTCCACAGCCATAGGGTAATTCTTCATATACAATCATGGTATTTGATCTATGGAAATCAATCAAAATTATGTGATTTTATTTGTACATCAAATTATTAGGAATTGACATGATTAGATTCTGTTTTATTTCCATTTTTGTTTCTTTTAGACATAGCATTTATGGGAAAGGTTATTGCCTGATATTTTAAGGCCCAGATAATATGTACAGAATTAATCTCCTCTTCCTATTTATACTTCCCTATTGCATCAAAATATCAAAGAATTAAAAAATGTTCACTTTTCCGCATGGTATAATGCACAATCTGAACCTCAACTGTGTACTAAGTTTCTACCTATCTTGCGTGAATTCCAGGCTTTGGAATTGGAGGAGACGATTAGCATTGCTGAAGAATGTGGTAGACTACCTCATTTGGAGAAAAAAACTAACTCTATCCCGTAGCAAGTTTAGGGTAAAGACCCCAAAATGTAGCCATTCTATTCCAACCACACAGCAATGAACTGCGAAACTTCAATTCCAAAAATTTCAATCTTCTTTTTCGGTAAACCATCATAACAAAGTATCCTCCAAAGTAGAGGAACACATCTAACCATCTCCGAAGGGATTTATTTAGATTTAAATAAAAATAGTCTGAGATCTTTTTCAAACAGCTTAAACCTATAGGTTAAGTGACCTTTGACTGGTCTTAAGTCACATCACTACGAGACGAACATGAATGTAACGCAACATAACATAATATTCCTTGAGTTACAAGTATTATTAATTCAAAATTGTTTGCCATTAAGTTGTTGAGTTAAAATGCTCATAGTACCAAACCTGAATTACATCCATCTTTCACAAGAACTTTAGAGAAGACATCGAGGGTAAGAGTTCAGGAAATAATTGAAATTGTGACTGAGTATGAACAGAATTTAGAAAAAGGGGGATTTGCTGGACTGGGAAAAAATAGAAACACCCAAAGATAACATACCAGCTTCTTTTCCTGCAGCTGAACAAGAAATCCATGTGGGTTCATTGCCCGAAAAACTAGGAAATCTGCCTTTCCTACATATTGTCTACAAGAAAACATTAAGGACCGATATTAATGAGTGGTTGTGCCTGTGCGCAATGGGGGATGAGTATGACAATAGTTGAAATAAGGAATTACTTGTTATTCATGTGGTCCTGAGATATAAGCCGAACTATTTGCATTACAGAGGGCCAATTTGCGGCAAGTCTGACATCAAAATCAATAACATGTGAGAAGATCAACAAATTAATGAAGTTAACAGAATATACGAAGCATTTCAATCAAATCATAACATCAAAATCAACTATTTGTTTGAATCTGTTTTAGCTGTCAAAATCTTTGTTTTTTATTAGTTGTATTTTTTCCTTATTTAGCAAATTATTATTATTGTGAATAATGGGTAAATCCGTGAATCAAAGGGATCCGGTTGTCTAGGAGTTCTTATTATGTTTCCTAAAATAGCTTTCTAGCCTTGTATATATGGATTGTATTCTCAACATAATAAAATATATGATTCTTCCCAAAATTATGAGATGGCATCAGAGTTCTCAATTTCTGGGAACCATCTCTGACAGCGCACATCAAAACCCTAGACGGCAACCTTTATGGTTGTCGCAAACGAAAACCTAGATGACAACCTTCATTGCTGACAATTGTTTGGGTAGTAGCGTTCATTGTTGTGGTTTTGGAGTGCATCCTTCATTGTTGTTGTTGTTTTGCAGTGTTATTTCTTAGTTGGAGCCACAACAATCAAATCCCTTCTCACTGCATTACGGTTAGGTGGGCATGGCAGACCAACTTACTAAAGTGGTGAATATTGGATCACAGAGCAATCAGGAACAACTACAGAACCTCAACATTGCCTACCGTTTGGATGCGAAGAATTATTTGAAATGGGCCTAGCTTGTTCGCAGAACTTTGAAAGGTAAAGTGAAAGCTAATCACTTGACTGAGGATGCCCTTAAAGAAGATCCCATATTTACAAAATAGGATGAAGAGGATTCTATGATCATGGCATGGCTATGGAACTCCATGATCCCAGAAATCACAAATACTTGCATGTTTCTTAATTCTGCAAAGGAGATTTGGAAAGTGAGTGACTAATCTCTTGTTTGTAAATTGAATAAAGCTCTCAGTGGACTAGAAACATGCTCCCCAACAAAGATTTGACAGATTGCAAACTACACTTCATCCATTTGGATTCATTAGCAATAAATGTGACTCTTCTCTTATTTACAGAAAAATCTCTCATTATATATTTTTTGGTATATGTTGATGATATCATTATACTTAAAGAAAAAATAAACTTTAATAGCATAAACCCATCTATAACCAACAAGCTTCTTACCAGGAGGAAGAGGAACAAGGTCCCAAGTACCATTGTGGTCAAGTGCCTGCATTTCATCAACCATGGTTTGTCGCCATCCAGGATAATCAAGTGCCTCATGAATATTATTAGGAATCTTAAGGGAGGATAAGGAGGAAACAAAAGATAAATAGGAAGGAGACAAACGAAGATAACTCAAAAAATTATAAAAAGGATATGGATTACGAGTAGAGTGAATACCTTTCCGGAATGGGCAACTTATTATCTGAGCCAAGAGAAGGCGAGGAGGATGAAGGATCCATGGTTTGGGGATCTAATGGAGGAGGATCCAAGTCTCGAGGATCTTCAGTGTTCTTAGTTTGAGATTGTTGTCGATGCTGATATGTGAGAAGAGGAGGAGGAACAATGTCATTCGCATTTTAAGTTTGAGGTACAGAAGCAGGAATAACCAAGGGATTACATGATGGTAGAGGAAACATTTGTTGGATAGATGAATGATCCTCCATGGAGGACAAGAAAAAAGGTGTATCTTCAAAGAATGTGACATCAAGAGACATATAATATCTCTTGGTGGAGGGAGAATAACATTTATACCATTTCTAAACATTTCTAAAGACGAGAGTATCCCAAGAAAACACAATAGCTTTTGTAGAGAGCTTATCAAGACCTAGGGAAACATTATGGACAAAACACGTACACCCAAATACACATGGGGAGACATGGTATAAAGTGTCATTTGGAAAAATGATAGAGTGAGGAATTTTATTTTCAAGAGAGGAAGAAGGCATCCTATTGATTAGAAACCAAGCAGTAAGGAGTGCATCACTTGATGCACAAAAATATTAGTATTCAACATCAGGGAGCGTGCAATTTCAATGAGATGTCTATTCTTTCTCTCTGCAATACCATTTTGTTGTGAGTGTAAGAACATGATGACTGATGTAAAATTCCTTGGGAAGCGTTGTTACTCTGATTCAACATATTACAACCAAACTTCATGCAACTTTTTTTCAATAACAACTTGGTCATCTTGATTATTTTCTTGGTCTTTAAATTAAATATTCACTCGATAAGTCTATTATTAGGACTCAAAGTAAATATATTTGAGATTTGCTTCATTCACAAAACTACATAGCAGAAGCTCACAACATTTCTTCCCCTATGGTTTCTAATTAGAAGATATCCAAGATTGGGGCTCATCTATTTTCATAGCCAATTTATATAACTCAGTCTTACGTGCTGTGAACAAAGTTTGTCAATGTATGGCCAAACCACTGGATTCTCAATGGCTTGTGATAAAACGCATACTACTGTATCTTAAAGGTTCTTTGTTTCATGGACTACATTGCCAACCTGCACTTATTGTCCATCCTTTTGTGATGCTGATTGGACATCTAATATTGATGGTAGACATTCTACTTCAGGAGGATCA